ACCAGATGGCTGGGGAAGCTGCAGGCTTCCTGCCATCCTGCCCAGGCTCCTCCCAGCCGCGCCAGTGGTGTAGGGGCATCATGCGAGGTTCCCAATCTTGCGACCCGGGTTCGAATCCCGGCTGGTGCATCCCCTGCTCTCCCTTTTGCATCCCAAGAGGGGAAGACGGCACCGTCGGAAACCTCTGCCTGGCCGTGCTGTGCTGCTCTTTTGCAGGACCAGAGGGCAGAAGAAGGACGCAGGGTTATCTGGGCGCACCTGCTCCTTTGTAGAAACAGAAGACAAGCCGCGCTGGATCCGGCCCAAGGTCCGTCCAGTCCAGCCCTCTGTGCACACGGAGGCAGACCAGGTGCCCACAGGTCCCTCCAGCAGCAGGGGTGCAACGCCTCCGCCTGGCCAAGCTGCCCAGCGACAGGAGTGCGCCAGCCTCCCGCCCCAAGTGAAGCCGGCAGTCCTTGGCCTGCAAAGCTAGGAGCCAAGCATCGCCTCATCCTCTTGGGATTTCTCCGGTCCCCTTTTAAAGCCACCCAAACTGTCGGCCATCAGACTGCTTTGCCCAGCCCTGGTCTGCCTGCTCAGCAGGCGGCCGGACACCTCAAATGGACTCCCGCATCAGGCGAGGAAAGGGGCCTTTCGACTCGGGGGAGCCTGCATTTCCACGACAAGGGGGGCCCTTCCGGCTGCCAGAAGGAAGTGCTTCTCTTTCTAAAGGGGCTGCACAGTGTCTGTTGCCCGACTGCTGTGGAGAGGAGGCAACCGGGGGAAGGCCTTCCCTGCTCCCACTGGGCCTCCTTTGAGCCACGTGTGAGCAGAGGAATCGGCCCCACCTCCCCCGTCCGGGACCGCACTCCTCGCGGCCCCTCTTGCCCAGGGGGGTCTGCCCCTGTCGTCTCCTCCATCCAAGTGCCGTGGATTCAGGCACAGCTGCCACGGGGCTGCCTGGGCGGGAGGCACGCAGTGCGGGGCGGATGAAGGCTCCGGGCCGATCGCCAGGGAAACATGGGCACTTTCAGCACAAAGCATCTCAGCAGGAGAGATCCCTTTTCACTCTCGTCGTGCCAGAGGCAAAAGGATGGCTTTGCATCCTGCTTGCGCTAGCAGAGGGTGGTTTCGATCCACCGGCCTCTGGGTTATGGGCCCAGCACGCTCCTGCTGCGCCACTCTGCTGGACAGGGAAGCTGGCAGGGAACGTCCCCCTTGGACCCCCCTCCGTCCCTGCCAGTGAAACCTCAGGCCGGGGGAGGTGGGAGGCAGCACAGCCCGGTCTCTGTGGCGCAATCGGTCAGCGCGCCTGGCTGTTAACCAGGAGGATGGTGGTTCGAGCCCACCCAGGGACGGCTGCGGGTGCCCCCCCCCCCCGAGACGAGGTGGCCGAGTGGTGAAGGCGATGGACTGCTAATCCATTGTGCTCTGCACGCGCGGGTTCGAATCCCGCCCTCGTCGCCCCTTTTTCCCTGACAGAGGCCCCAAGACAAAACCTTTGGCTCCCTTCGCTGTCTTGACTCCCAAGCGTGCAAAAGGCCGAGGGAAGCAGAGGCCAGCTGGGCCCTGGACACAAGGAACCCAACTGGGGATTTTGAATGGTGCCGCTACTCCACTGGTGCAGCCGATGGGGCCGTGCAAAAGAGGGCAAGGGGCTCTCCAAGCACTTCACCCAGCCGGGGGAAAAGGGGGGCCTGCCTTCGAGCTGCCTGGCCAGGGGGCACTCAGGGCCGACGGAGCGGAGGATGGCTCTGGGCCGCTTGCCAGAGAAACGTGGGCACTTTTACCACAAAGCAAGAAGAGATCCCTTTTCACCCTCGTC